TGGAAGCTTTAGAATTGGAGTATGTGCACAGAGATTGGAATTGTTCAAGAAACTGTTTTCGTAAGCAAGGTTATCAAACTCATCTGGGATTTCCTCGGAAAGTTTGTTGGATGATAAGTTGAGTGATGTGAGCTTCAGGTTGCCAAGGCTTGCTGGGATTTTCCCAGAAAATTGGTTTTCTGATAAATCCAGGCTGAGGAGGTTAGGTAATGACCCAATTGCAACCGGAATTTGACCGGAAAGTTTGTTTCCGGACAGGTCCAAGGTAATCAACGATTTCCAAGAGGCTACATCGGATGGTAATTCACCGGAGAGTTGATTTCCATCTAGGAGGAGAGTAAAAAGGCTAGAAAGATGTGTTATTTCCACCGGGATATGGCCGGATAAGAGGTTGTTACTTGCCTCGAAGATTGCCAAACTTGACAAAGAACCAATTTCGGCCGGAATTTGGCCGGATAAGAGATTGTTATTTACCTCGAAGTCTATCAAACTTGACAAAGAACCAATTCCGGCAGGGATTTGGCCGGATAAGAGATTGTTGTTTGCCTCGAAGACCATCAAACTTGACAAAGAACCAATTCCGGCCGGTATTTCACCGGATAAGAGATTGTTACCTGCCTCTAAGACTGCCAAACTTGACAAAGAACCAATTCCGGCCGGTATCTCCCCTGTTAACTGATTCGACATCAGATTAAAGAAAACAAGATTTCGCATCATCCCAAATTCTCCTGGTATCGTACCCGTCAAATTATTCATGCAAAGATCAATTTGAGACAAGTTCAAAGCTTCGACGGGTCTGGGTATCTCACCAGAAAGCTCATTGTTGTAGAGAAACAAGTTAGTCAGTTTCTTCAACATGAGAAGCCTGCTAGGGATCGGACCTTCCAGATTGTTCTCCGATAAATCGAGCCATTCTAGGCTAGAGATGTTGGCGAAGCCCTCCGGAATTTGGCCGATTAAATTCGTCGCCCTCATCCATAAGTTCCTCAATTTCTTCAATTGAGTAAACCTATTAGGTATCTTCATACGCACAAAGCCATTATTGGCCATCCATAGAAGCTCAAGATTGGATAGGTTGCCGATTTCCCCAGGAAAAGTGGCGTTGAACTCATTATATTGTAAACGGAGTTCTTTCAAGTTCCGTAATCCTCCGATACTTGGAGGAATATCCGAGAAGTTGTTGCTACTGAGGTCTAAGTAAACCAGAGTAGATAACTGGCAAATGTCCCCGGGAATTGAGCCGATGAAGTAGTTCATGGAGAGGTCTAAGTGCTGGAGCTTCGAGCAATTGTAGAGCAAAGCTGGGAACTCACCGGGGATAAAATTGTAGGACAAATCAAGGAATGTGAGGTTCTTGAGTTTGCAGATTGATGGTGGGATTTTGACAGTGATGTTTATATCGTAGAGCGAAACGCTGGTGACTGAACCATCAGTGCAGTTGATTCCTGGCCAAGAACATGGTGAGGATGAGTCGTTCCATGACTGGATGGCCGGCGGGTTGCCCAACTGCTGCTTAAGGTTGAGAAGAACAGTTCGCTCTGTTTCTATGGTTTC